AATCCCAGCAGAACGGCCCGTTCTCCCTCTGGAATGACCCGTTCTCCAAACCAGAACGGCCCGTTCTCCCTCTGGAACGGCCCGTTCTCCAAATCGGAACGACCCGTTCTCCCTCCAGAATGACCCGTTCTGCTTGTCAAATTTTGGGCCTTTAACTTATTCCAGAACAGCCCGTTTCACTTTTGAAACGGCCCGTTCTGGGCAACGAATTTGGGCCTACGGCCCATTGAAAATTGGGCTGTTACACAAGTTTGTGGGATGGTTTTGCTGGTGAGCTCTTCTAGTCTGTATGCCCTGTTTTCTAAGTCTTCTGTGACTCGAAATGGGCCATCCCAGTTAGGTGCGAGTTTCCCTTCTAATGTGTCTCTTCGTGCTTCACCTTGTAGTCGCCACACCAGGTCGCCTACCCGGAAAGAGCGAGGTCAAACTTAGGTGTTGTATCTTCTGGAGGCCCGAAGTTTGCAAGCTTCCTCATGAATCTGAGCCTCCTCTCTAAGCTCGTCAATCAGGTCGAGGTTGACTACCGTTTCTTGAGCGTTTTGCTCACTATCGAAGGCATATCGTCTATGAGACATTTCATCGACCTCCACTGGGATCATGGCGTCGGCCCCGTAGGTCAGCCTCTAAGGCATTTCTTGTATTGTTGATTGGGGATACAATGGTACGCCCAGAGAATGTTGCGGAGTTCGTCGATCCATTGTCCTTTGGCGCTTCCTAGCCACTTCTTGAGCTCTCGAAGTATTACTTTGTTCGCGGCTTTGGCTTGGCCATTGGTTTGGGGATGTTCCAGCAAGGTTGGAAGGTGCTTGATTCTGAGTTCTCAGAGGAAGTTCTCGAAGCTCTGTGCGATGAATTGTCTGTCGTTATCGGTGACGAGGGAGTGTGGGATGCCAAACCTACAAATAATGCTCTTCTAGGTAAATTTCTACACATTCTCGGTGGTAATCTTCGCTTTGATCCACTTGGTGAAGTAGTCAATTGCCACTAGGAGGAATTTGAGTTGACCTTTCGCGGGAGGAAATGGTCCGAGGATGTTCATTCTCCACTAGGCAAACGGTCAAGGTGACATCATCTGGTGGAGGACTTCAGGTGGTTGCCGATGGCGTTGTCGAATTGCTGACATTCCTTGCATATTTGTACATAAGCTTGGCAATCTGACTTCAGTGTGGGCCAGTAGTACCCAGCCTGGAGCACCCTGGTCGCCATCGAGCGTGCCCCGGAGTGCATCCCACATATGCCTGGTGGATCTCTTCGATGACGTAGGTGGCCTGGGATTCTGCTAAGCATTTTAACAGAGGAGTGGAGATGTCGCGCTTGAACAGCTCGTCTCCAATGATGATGAACTTAGCCGACCTTACCCTCATCTTTCGTGCTTCATCTTTGTCCTCGGGTAGAGTACCCTCCTTTAAGTAGTTCCAAATACCTGTCATCCATCCTTGGTCTTCCCTGTCACTAGTGTTGACGACTTTATCGTCTAGACTGAGTGAATTCAGGGTCTCCTGGATGATGGTCCGATGTTGCCCAGAGCGTTTCGTGCTGGTGAGTTTGGACAAGAGATCAGCTCTGACATTTTGCTCTCGGGGCACATGGTGTATGGTGAATTCATCGAAGGATGAGATTCGTTGGGATGCTACATGAAAGTACCTCTACAGCAAGGTGTCCTTGGTCTGGTATACCCCACTAAGTTGCTTCACCATGAGCTTTGAGTCGATGTTACAGCTCACCCTTCATGCTCCGAGGTCACGAGCCAACCTCAAACCTTCTAGCAACGCTTCATACTATGCTTGGTTGTTGGTGACCCTGAAGCTAAACTTGAGATATTTCTCTACTGTGACTTTGTTCGGTCCTTCCAAGATAATACCTGCACCACCACCTTTAGAGTCGGAAGATCCATCAACATGTAGAGTCCATACCTATTTTTCTTCTGTCGAGATTAGGGTGAGTTCGGCCACGAAATCTACTAGGCACTAAGCTTTCAAGGGGCCCCGACTTTCATATTGGATGCCAAACTCGAATAGCTCCACTAACCATGCTATCATGCGCCCGACGAGTTCTGGTTTTCTTAATATCTACTAGTCGGTTTTGACGACCACCTGGTGACTTTGGAAGTAAGGTTAGAGGCGCCGAGCTGCGGTCACGAATGCTAATGCCAGCTTTTTGATCGTTTGATATCGCTTCTCCGTGTCTTGAAGGACTCAGCTGATGAAGTAAATGGGCGTTTGCACTTTGTGGTTCTCTTGCACTATGACCGCGCTGATTGCGCCTTTTGCCACGGCTAGGTAGAGGAGGCGGTCGGAGTGATGATCCAACCTATGAAGGATTGGTGGGGTTGTGAGGAAATCTTTGAAGCTCTTGAAAGCTTCCTCGTATTTGTCCGTCCATTCGAAGTTCTTTGGCTTTCGCAGTAGGGTGAAGATGGGCCTTGCTCTTTCTACCAATCGGGAGATGAAACGGGAAATAGAGACTAATCTTCCTGCCAAGTGTTGGACGTCCTTGACAGTCTGAGGACTCTGCATCTGTATAATGGCTTTGCATTTCTTCGGGTTGGCTTCAATTCCCCTATTGGTGATCATAAAGCCAAGAAATTTACCTCCCTAGATGCCGAAAACACACTTCTCCGGGTTTAGGCGCATGTTGTGTTTTTGGATTTGGCTGAACACCTCGACTAAGTCGGTGGCATGAGCCTCAGATGACAATGTCTTGACGACCATATCGTCGACGTACACCTCCATATTTCTTCCTCTTTGGTGCTGGAAGACTTTGTCTATCAGACGTTGGTAAGTGGCTCCAGCATTTTCAAGGTCGAAGGGCATCATGCGATAGCAGAAGTTGGCGCGGTTAGTGATGAAGGTTGTGTACTCCTCGTTTGGTGGGTACATCATGATCTGATTGTACCCAGAATATGCGTCGAGGAAGCTGAGGAGGGCATGGCTAAAGGCGCCGTCAACCAATCTATCGATACTCGGTAAGGGGTATGAGCTCTAATAATATTATAATTAGTTTTTAATATTTTTAACTAATAAAGTGAACAACATTAGAAAAAAATTATTATGTTTCACATCCCTTAAACATATATTAATCATTAATTATCAATTTTGAAATATTACATGAAATTATGAATTGTGTTCATAGACAAAAAAATATTAAATTATATATTAATAACACTCATTTTTAAATCAATACATAAAGTTATTATGAATATTTATAATAATAATATTATTATTATATCAACAAATCACTAGTTTGAATGATAATAAATTTAAATTTTATTAACAAAATTTCAAGTTTGAATCTTATAAATAAAAAAATATATTTTAAAAAAACTTTGTTAAAAGTAGTTGACTAAATTCATAAAAATTAAATGTTTTATACTAATAATATAATTATTAAAAATTTATTATTATATTATTATTGTTTACTTTACACCTTTCTTTCTTGCTTCTAGAGATAAACACTTTCGTTTTTTTACTTATATTTTCTTAAACTTTTTGTTATTTTCATATTTTCATAAACTTTATCTTTTAATTTTATATTATTATCTAAAATCATTTTAAGTGACCAGTGGTATATCGATAACAAATTCTTATAATTTATTTTATTTAATTTAAACATGTTATTACTGTAATATATATATATATATATATATATATATATATATATATATATTTTTTAATA